CATGTACTCAAGCATGAGTAGAACTGTATATGGGCAAGCGCCAGATATTTCTACCATGTATTTTGTAATTCAACACCCTGCATGTTTCTTGGTAAATTAACATAGTTTGCAGAGAATCTTCAAATGAAAGCAAAGAATGACTATTTGTCATACTCAATAGTCATATGATGGTTAGTCTGTTGATTTTATGTTCATCTATAGACTGATACTGGAAGTTATCTTGAATTTAAGCCCTATTCAACATGATTAATTTTTAACTGGGAGTTCATTTGCTCCCACACTTTTAAATAGTAAAACCTTAATAAGAAAGATATGGCATATCACACACACATACACACACTGGAATAATAAACAGTCATAAAAAAGGATGCGATCTTGTCATTTGCAACAATATAGATGGACCTAAGGAGTATTCTACTAAGTGAAATAAGTCAGAGAAAGACAAATACCATATGATTTCACTCATATGTGGAATCTAAAAGACAAAACAAATGAATAAACAAAAAGCTGAATGAGATCTATAAGTAAAGAGAACAGACTATTGGTTGAGAGATGAAAGAAGAGTGGGGAAATAGGCAAAATAGGTGAAGGGGAATGGGCGATACAGGCTTCCAGTTATGGAATGGGGATAAAAGGCACAGCATGAGGAATATAGTCAATGTCACTGTAAAAGCGTTGTGCGGTACGGATGGTAGCTACACTTGTGGTGAGATAACGTAACAGAGAAGTTGACTTACTATGTTATACAGCTGAAATTAATGTAACATTGTGTGTCAACTGTACTCACATGAAAAAAAATTAAAGAATAAAATCTTAAAAATGTTGACTCGAGTACTAAATTGGAACATAGCTTACCTTGTGATCAATGCCCTTGATTTTACTATGTTTATAGTGCATATGGTACCATCAGACTTCTATCATTTTATTATGTCAGTTTGTTTTTGCATCAAGCAAAATCTTGGAAAATCCTTAGCATATGCATTTTATACTTTAGGAGATTGAGATTTCTCTCTGTGCAGTGAAATTTGATGAGATCAGATGACCCATTGTTCAGAGTCATAGTAGTCCTCTTCCCACCTCATGAATAAAATGGCTGTGGAAACCCCACATGTTAAGGCTGGTACCTTGCACCACCGTTTGATAATTTGGTCACTCTTTCTTCTTAATGGTGCTCTTGGCTTCATGTCCACAGCTTCAGTTATCATGTGTATTCTAAAGACTTTCAAATTTTTATTTACTTATTTTTAAAGATTTTATTTATTTTTGAGAGAGAGAGAGATAACACGAGCAGGGGAGGGGTCGAGGGAGAAGCAGACTTCTTGCTGAGCAGGGATCCCGATGCAGAACTCGATCTCAGGACCCCAAGATCATGACCCGAACCAAAAATGGATGCTTAACCATCTGAGCCACCCAGGCGCGCAAGACTTTCAAATTTTTTCTCCAGCCTAGTTACCTCCTCTTTGCTCCAAACCTTTATGTCCAACTGTGTATGACTCTCCACCCATTCCAGATCTGATTTATAATCTTTCCTTGTGTTCTCCACCTTAGTGGGTACTATCACCATCCTGGTTTAAGAAACCAGGATGTTTTCTTCATATTTTGCTCTCCCCTCATCCTCCAATTCTGGAGTATTACTCAATTCTGTCAGTATTACTTTCTAAATATCTCTCAGATCCATCCATTTGTCTCCAATCTGCTTCTACCATGTTGGCCCAATCTATCATTATCTCTGGCCTATAACAATGCCTGCTTTTGTACACTGTACCAGGGATGGTGTTTTTGACATGCTTATCTGATTATGTCACCCCTCCCCCCAACTTAAATCCCATTGCTTTTGGGATTAAGATCTAAATCCTTAACTGGTATACAAAGCATTGCGTATTCTGCTTCCCATTTTCCTTTCCCACCTCATCTTGTACCTCTTTCCCCCTTTTGCTGTCTGCTGTGGGCTCCATTCATTTCTGTGAACCTGATATACTTCCTCCTGCCTCAGGACCTTTGTGCATGCTGCTCCATATTCTAGAACTGTGCTGTATAATGCTGTAGTTGCTAACTACATGTGGCAATTAGAATTAAATAAAATCAATAATTTAGTTTCTCAGTCCCACTACCACTGTAAGTGCTCAGTATGACTGGGGGCTATCATACTGGACAATGAATATGCAGAACACTTCCATTTTTACACAAAATTCTATTGGACAACACTGTTGTAGAATATCCTTTGCCAGCTCCCACACCCTTCCTCCTGTGTAACTTTTTCAGGGAAGCCCTCCCTGTCCTCCCTTCAGTTCCTAGTAGAGTTGATTTTCTTTGTATCTAAAGTCTCCCAGCCAAAGACTACCATGAACACATCTGTAATCAGGATTACATTTATTTAGCCTGCTTTAGCAGGAGACCCTTAGGGACGACTCAGTAACACAGAGGTGGGAGGAGCTCTTCACAGTGTTTGGGCTTATACTGGATAAGTGTAAGGAGGGATTCCAGAAATGACAGCCAGCTCTGGACTGGGTATGAGAAGACATAGAGGCAGCCCGGAAACTGGGTAACCATTGTTCAGGAAATGAAATGAGCAAAGCAGGACTGAGGATGCCTTTGTCAGGAAAGCAGCAGCCACTCAGAAGGAAGACGTGTTACTCACTTGTGTGGCTGTGTTACTGTCTTCTGGGCTTCTGCTGGAAACACTTTTGTTCGCCTTGTCTGTGTGCCACTGAAAGTGGTAGTCAGTGGGACTGGTTTTTATTTTCTCAGTTGTGCTGTGCTCTCCTAGGGCTCTGTTGCTCTTCTCCAGAGTGCTTGCACACAGTCTGTAACTTTTTGAATGAATGACTTTTTAAGTAATGTGTTTCTTCTCCTAGACCAGAAGCTTCATGAGAACAGAGACCACTTTTGGTTCACTTTGGTACGCATAGCATCTAGCACGCTGCCTGATAAAAAATAGATGCTTGGTCTTTTTTTTTTTTTTTTAAAGATTTTATTTATTTTTTTGACAGAGATCACAAGTAGGCAGAGAGACAGGCAGAGAGAGGGGGGAAGCAGGCTCCCTGCTCAGCAGAGAGCCCGATGTGGGGCTCGATGCCAGGACCCTGGGATCATGACCTGAGCTGAAGGCAGAGGCTTAACCCACTGAGCCACCCAGGTGCCCCAGATGCTCAGTCTTTATTGGAAGAATGGATGAATAAATAAATGAATGATAAGACCTAAAAAAATTGGTGGCTGATCAAAGTCATGGAATCAGAAAATCCCAGATTTTCTGACAGTTGAAGAATCATTTGTCTTTTTACAGTAGATTCTTAGCAGATGTCTCTTCCTCCCACCCAAGAAAAACACTAGAACTCTAATATTTAAAATTTAAATATAACATTCTAATACTGCCTGATATCTCAAGTCCTTTCAGGGTAGTCATTAAAATATATGTTATCATACCTTCTTTACTATCATTTTTCTCAGTCCAAATGAAGAAAGGTATGGATGCATTGTATCAAATCACAGTAAGGTATAGTGATGTTGGCTGTCTGCCTGGGTTTTGGCATCCTACAAATTATATTAAAAGGTTTCCAAGCAGTTGGTAACTGTAACTGGAATGACCCAAACACTTTGACTATAATTCTCCAGTACTAAATCACATAGAGCCAGATAACCTCTTAATGTGATCAGGTCTCATAAAGGATTGTGATATTTTCCAGGTGGAATAACTTTATTTTTTTTAATTATAAAGACAATATAAAAGAATTCAGGATAAAATTTTGAGCTTGAAGGGCACCTGGGTGGCTCAGTTGGTTAAGCCACTGCCTTCGGCTCAGGTCATGATCCCGGAGTCCCAGGATCAAGTCCCGCTCCCAGTTCCGTGGGGCATCTGCTTCTCCCTCTGACCTTCTTCCCTCTCATGCATTCTCTTTGTCTCTCTCTCTCTCTCTCTCTCTCAAATAAATAAATAAATAAAATCTTTGAAGAAAAATTTTAAGCTTGAAAAAAGCAATATCCACATTGGTAACATGTCTACTATTTTTAGTTTTTCAGGTTCTTGTCCAGATGCAATCATGTTTATTAGAGTACGATTCTTTATTTTAGTCAGTATATAGTTGAAAGTCTCCTTGAATCTGAGCAGTTGTGGTATATCACACCTTCTTACACCACCTGGGGGATTAGAACCATTGAATTTATAAATTCACTATGTCGTAGTGGGCAAGCCTACCCTTAGGCTTCAGAATTCTGTGGCCTGGACAATAGATTCACTGAGGGCCATGTTTACTAGTACTGGTGCACTGTGTGTTGTTATGGGTTTACTGCATGTTCCTTCAAAGAAAACCTTGGAAGTGCATCTCCTCTATCTCTTCCTTAAATGCCCTTCTCATCATGCTACCCTCCTACTCCAAAATTTCCTAAATCTTAACTGTACTAAGTGTAAATATCTTTTCATCGATCAGCCCTGTCCAATAGAACTTTCTGCATTTTACAGATGGGGTAAATATGGCCCTTGTCTCAGTTTATACAGGTAGCAGGTAAAAGAGTCATAACTTGACACTGGACAGTCTTGCTCTAGAAACTATGCCCCTAACCACTCTGAATACCGCCCTGTGCTGTGTATGCTGTGTCGACTCCCTGTAATAAGTGTTCCATTAAGTCAGAATTTGTGATTTGTGGGAACGAGCGTTGCAGATGATAGAAAATGGACGAGATGTCTTATGTGTTTGAAGAAACAGGTTCCAGTACCTGCAGACACTTTTGGAACACCTGTAGGACATGTGAATATGGACATGTGAATAATATGCAAAGCAAAAATGCCTCTTCTGTTGAGTGTAATTCTCAGTGTGCACGTGGTATGCAAGTTCTATGCACAGATGGTAACTATTTTTGTTGTAGAAAACACAATACTAAAAAATACATTATCTTCCTTTCTGAAGTGAGGATAAAACAATTCGGGCACATTTGTCACTTTCCTTCCTGTTTTTGCATGATGACTTACCTATTTGTTTTAATTTGATAACTTTTAAATTTTGCAGAAATTCCGGAGTGCTTCAGTTGGGGCCGAGGAGTACATGTATGACCAGACATCAAGGTAGGCTACCCGGAGGTGTCCCTAGAAACTAATGAACTGATAACACTTGAAATGTACTCCCAAGTTACACTTTTGAACCTTTTAAAAGAAAAATCTTTTTTCTTTACAGTGACTTCTAAATTACTGTTTCCAGTCTTGACCTATAGTCTGAGGCCCACACCCTTTTTCTGTCCTTCTGTTGGTTAGATCGCTCTCCTTAGGGGGTTCTCTGAATCTCAGACACATGGACCTCCAACACAGCATGTGATAAAATGGGAACTCTTTGCCTTTCTTTTTCTTTTCTTTTCTTCCTTCCCCACTTCTTTCACATCGGCTCTGCTTTTATTTCCTATTGTGGCTAATGGCGTCACAATGCCAGCTACCCACTTGAGAGGTGTCAAGATCTGCCTGACTTTGTGCTGTGCTTTCGTCACACTTGGCCAGGTGCTGAACATTCTGTTTTACCTGTCCTGTCCCTTACAACTTTCTCTTGTTCGTGCTCTGAACCGTTGTGATGTAACTTGATCTTCCCACCAACACCTTCTTTTCCCTTCTGTTCCACTGTACGTACCTAGCTACCTGCTATCATACTCTGCGTTGCCTTCCATGTACAAGCAGTGAGAGAGGTATGGGAATACGATAGAACCTCTCCTTACAAGAGGCCCATAGACTTTTGGAGGGGACAGATGTAGTGATGGACAGTTGTAATACAGTTTGCTCAGTGCTGCTACAGAGGTACATAAACAGAAAGCTGAGAGGACTTAGAGGTGTCTGTGTATGTGGTGGGGTTTAGGGTGGGGGTGGGGGAACAAAGCTTGCAGGGAGGGGCATTTGAACCAGATGTTGAAGGATCATGAGCAGGAGTTTTCCAGGGAAAGAAGATTAAGAACATTTTAGGTAGAGAGGCTAGATGATCAAAGACCTTGGTCATGAGCATGCTCATAGACAGGAGAGAATGGCAAGAAATGAATTGATCTCTCCCGTTTTACAAAGCTTATCGGTGATGTCACCATTTCAGACGGGATTAAACACAAATTACTCAAGACGGTAGTCAGGGCCTTTGTGTGCTAGTTCCTTTTTGCTTTCAACCGTGGGTCCCACTGTAGTTATTGCTTCTTTGCTTTTATGTGTGTGGCCCTCTTCTGTTCTTTCTGTTTCCACCTGAAGTCCTCCTAATCCTTCAGGGTCTTGCTCCGACCTCAGGCTGCCCAGTCATCCTTCCCAGATCACCCGAGTCAGAATTTCAGTGTGTGGTGAGGTGGGGAACATAGAGTTCCAAATCACCTTCTAAAATGTGGACATGCGTATATAATTTGCATGCTATAAACCCCAGTCACCCTGTAATCAGCTGTCAGGCTGGTGAAAAGAGCTTTGACCTACCAGTCACTTGACCTGCTTTCTCTTCCTGCTGCTGTCATTGTCCACTAGAGTGAGCAAGTTTCTTAGCCTCTCTTCACCTGTGAAATGAAGGTGGTTTTATTTCCTGTGTTATGGATAGGCTTGGGGAGCATGAACCCCCCAAAATTATGTTCAAAACCATTTCTGTTCATATGTGCTTTTATCTGGAGAGAGTGTTCACAGCTTTTCATGTTTTTGTTTGTTTGTTTATTCGTTTTTTTAAATGCAGCCTGTGCCCTAGATAAGTTGTAGGCTGCTGATGTAGGTGATTCCTAATATCCTGTCCATGTCTCAAATTTTATGATTCAGTGGCAGTTCTGAGATTGCTTTTTTCAGGCAAAAGGACAGTGAAGTTGGTTCTGTCTTGAATGATTTATTTCCCACCTTGTTCTAAGATACATATTCTGGAATTTGCTTAGTTTCTCAGCTTATGAGTAAGGTTTTTATCATGAAAAGAGGAATATTATTGTGCTTTACAATTTCTTTCTCCTCATGAAAGTTATAAAAAATTAAACATGATAAGAGACTTCCATAATCTTGTAAGCAGACCATTTTAAGAGGTGAACTTTGAGGCAGTTTTATACCTAGCCTTTCAAAGACTATGAAACTAAAGAGCTAAGAAAATAGGCCTAGTGAAGAGCTTCTAATGATTAAAAAGGTTCATGAAGCATTGGTTATTGGGTTACCACTAGGAGCCATCCTGCACTATAGCAGAAATAAATATTTCTGAAAGAACATATTAAACTTTTTGTTTCTTTCATTTTTAGAAGGATTGTGGTTCATACCTTTTGTTTATTTTAAATAATTGATATATTCCTCATGGCTGGGGAAAAATCAGTATTTTTATTTTGTAAATTAAATAACATTTTCAAAATATTAAGGAAATTGTGTAGAGCAAGGATTTGCAAACTTTTTCTGCAATGGGTTACATAGTGAATATTTTAGATTTGGCACTTTATAGATCACAACTACTGAACCCTGCTGTTGTAGTGTGAAAGTAACTGTAGACAAGCCCTAAATGAATGAGCATAGCTGTGTTCCAATAATAGGAACACAGGGAGGTGTTTACAATAATAGGCAGGGAGCTGGATTTGGCCAATGGAACAAACCTTGTTTGCAGACTCCTGATTTGGAGCAGCAGTGACCCTTTCATGAGTCCTTTTGCCGTCTTAAAAACAGAAAACAGCAAAGCCAACGGTCTCTGTTATGGAACTAGATTCTCAGTAATGAATGTCGGAGTTTTAGACATTTTGAAATCTTTTGAAGTGGGATATCACTGTTTGCAACATCTTGGTGATACAAAAAGAGGGTTAAGTATAGGTACGAATTGCACGAAAGCTTTCACACATTTGGCTTGCTGCTAGCATGAAAGTGGCAAATCCTATCAATTCTTAAGCCTCAGGCATTACTGATTGCCATCTAAGACCTAACAGGTTCTCCTGGCACAGCCTTGCATAATTGGACAGGCACCTCATGGACTTTCTCCCCTTCTAAACCATCTGGTTTATGAGCCACTATTAGAGATGTTGTATACATTGTATTAGCAGTGACCTTTGGTTCCGGTCGCATCTCTTTTGCCATATGCTGTGTTTTGTCTCTGAAGTAGAGTAAATAGTGGTTCATATTCCTACAAAACTCTGTAAATGTGAAATTGATTAGGAAGGCAGAAGTGTCCGAGGGAGTGAATCTGACCACTGTTTGCTTTCTGTTCACAGTGGCACATTTCAGTACACCCTGGAAGCCACCAAGTCGCTGCGTCAGAAGCAGGGGGAGGGCCCCATGACCTACCTCAACAAGGGACAGTTCTACGCCATAACGCTCAGCGAGACTGGAGACAACAAATGCTTCCGACACCCGATCAGCAAAGTCCGGGTATGGGCCTCATGTCTCAAATAAAGAGCAGAGGGATCATGTGAAGGGAATTGCTACCTCGCAGTCTTGTGGAAGGGTGTGGAAAAAACTCCAAAATAAATAATTCTAGAACAAATATCAGAGAGTTGGAGCAGGAGAACTTACTGGCTTACAGTTTATCATTTTAATCAGTAACCAGTAAATGCCAGGGAGGGGACATGGTTGGGACATGCTTTCTGACCGTATCCAAGGAATTTTCCCAACTTCCTTCATTGCCTTTGTGCTACTTAGTTGTTGTTCTTGCTTTCAATCAATTGATCTTAAATTTTCAAGCAAGGAGCTGTTAAGTCCGAGCTTATTTGTGGGCAGGGAAAGAGCGGCTGCTGTCTTCCATATGGAAGGTGTGATTTATCCTGTGTCCCTGGATCCTTTGCAGCTTGGTTTAAAAAGCCTTCTGCAGCCCAGTGCTTGCTTACTCAGGAGTCAAGTGAGGCATGATATGATCCCTACCAGGACTGACTTGGTGGAATTTTCACCTTCATGAGTATTAGTTCTGTTTGTGGGAAATGGAACTATGCTGGAAGCCGACCAGCTTTTGGCATTCTTGCTGCCGCCAAGAAGGGAGGAAACTGGTCATCCTTCTCTACTGAAAAGGAAAATCATAGCAGAGCTCTCTGAAAAGAGGTTGAAGGACCTTCCTGCCCTGTTGTAAAATGATTTATTCTACATGCTCTGTACGTGGTGCCGACCCTACCGTATCTAGTCCGTAGCTACTGCCTCCTAAGCCCTTCAGCACGTTGAGACGAATGCGGTGCTGTGCCTAGAGCATAGGGAGTTTACCCCCATCCCAGACTTCCCTGCAAAGGGAACAAATGAAGTAGAAGAGAAAGAAGAGCTTTTGGGCACCTGCTGGCCAGCTTGTCTGTTACTGGCTTTAGGTAAAACAGCTTCAGTGGTGATCTCTGAGACAGCTGGGGTTCCTGGCTGTGTTTCAGTGAGAAAGACAAGCAAGGATTGCTGCTCATTCCTCAGCCCAGCAATTCTTCCTCCCTCCAGGCTGTCCTAGTCCCACGCCAGAGCTGTAGGAGGCGGGGCTGTTGAGAGTGAGAAGAAGATGTGGAGCTCATGTCCCAGGCAAGGCTGAGCCTGTTGCAGGTGGAAAGGTGCCTGGTGTGTTGTGTGCCTGCCAGGGAAATTGATGTGTTCCTACCCTGTGGTCAAGGCTGTAGTGGAGGGATGCCTTCCTTCTCCTCCTTCTCCTCCTCCTCCTCGACCTCCTTCTCATCATCATCTTAATGGTGGAAGGATATAATAACAATAACAATCATAATAGTAATAACAACAATAACAATGGCAGAGAGATGCCATAATAATAACAACAAAAGCCACAAAATAACAACTAATGTTTATTGGGTATATCTTCTGTGTGCCAGGCACTATGTCAAGTTCCATATATCTAGCAATTCATTTGAAACTAACACAACCCTATGAAATAGGCACTGTTTTTATAATACTATAGATGAGGAAACTTGGCCTTTTAGAGGCTAGTAACTGGCCTTTTAGAGGCTAAAATGTGAGGGAACCAGGATATATCCCAGGCAGTCAGATTCTTGGATTTATTCTCTTACTAAGGTACACTGTGTTGAGAGACATGGAGGGCTAAAAGCCAGGGGCACCATTTTAATTCACCAAGAGTGTTAGATTGAAGTCCTTAAGAGAAGAGGGCTCCTTGTAGCCAATATAAAACAGATGGGACGAAAACTTCCATAATAAGTTATCTACATGATTTCAGTGAAGCAGAATTCTTTTTTTTAAAAAAGATTTTGTTTATTTATTTAACAGAGAGATCACAAGTATGCAGAGAGGCAGAAAGAGGAGGAAGCAGGCTCCCCGCTGGGCAGAGAGCCCAATGTGGGGCTCGATCCCAGGACCCTGAGATTAAAACCCGAGCCAAAGGCAGAGGCTTTAACCCACTGAGCCACCCAGGCACCTGAATCAGAATTCTTGAAGAGTCCCTGTACTGTCGTGGCCTTAGAATGTAAACTATTCACTGTCTTTTCAGGGTGCCGATGATGGTACTGTTAAGAGGGTGTATATGAGATATACACTTCCTTGTAATTTATAAGACTGTTTTTAAAAAAAACTAAGTTTATCCAGAATTTTCTTAACAGGCATCCACATGTGAGGGTGTAGGGGTGTCAAGTCTAGCAGATATATCCAGAGATGGATCCCAGGCTAAAATGCCTCTGGCTTTTGGGATTGTTCTTACTCCTCAGCTCTGGGACAGTGAGCAATCTGGAGGAAAGAGAGATGCACTTGGAACTTACCCGCATTAGTTTTGGAGCACGGTGTTTTATTCTGAGTTGAAACATGTATGCTTGGTAATATAGCATTTTCAAACTGCCTTTCTTTTTATCACTGAAGACAGAAATTTGCAGACCAAGAATATGCCATTACTTAGCCTGATATAGTCATTTGATAGAGAAAAAAAACCTGTTATTTTTATTTGGAGCAGAAGGAAATAAACACTAGGAGGCCATACGGTGAACTTTTACATATACAGTAGTCCATCCTCCCCCCTTATGTGCAGGAGGTACGTTCTAGGACCTCCTAGAGGATGCCTGAAACCGTGGATGGTACCAAGACGTATATATGTTATTTCCTCTCCATACATCCCTATAATAAAGTTGAACATATACAATAGCACAGTAAGAGATCAGCAACAACGGTAATAAAAATAGAACAGTTACAATACACTGTCATAAAAGTTATGTGACTGTGGGATTCTCGGTCTCTAAGTATCTTATGGTACTGTACTCACCCTTCTTCTGGTGATGATGTGAGATGATAAAATACCTATGTGATGAGATGACATAACATGACGACACGGGTGTTGTGACCCTAATGTTAGGCTACTACCGACTTTTGGATGATAGATCAGAAGGCACTCATTTGCTTCTAGATTATGGTTGACCAAATGTGGGTAACTGAAACCATGGGTAAGGGGGCAACTGTAAGTGGCAAAGTTTGGGGAAGCAGGAGAGGGAAGAATGGAGAACTTGGAGCTCACAGTTCCACCAGCCCAGAAGCGGTTCCCTCTCTTGTCACTTCTCCATGTACCTTTGAGGTTCCTGCTGCTTGTGAGTTCGAATAATATGGATACATATTTCTAAACTAGTTTTCCTAACAGGCATCTGCTTTCTTGTGTAACAAATGCTCACACGTACTTTGGGAAGAAGCCAGATTTTGAATGGACAGTCCAACTGCAAGAATGTATATGACATCTATTATTTGTCAGGCAGTGGGGCTGTTGACTGAGTAATTGTAAATAATTAAGTAAATGGAGAAGGCGCCTGGGAGACTCAGGGGGTTGAGCCTCTGCCTTTGGCTCAGATCATGATCTCGGGGTCCTGGGATCGAGCCCAGCATGGGGCTCTCTGCTCAGTGGGAAGCCTGCTTCCCCCCACCTCTCTCTCTTTGCTTGGCTCTCTGCCTACTTGTGATCTCTCTCTCTCAAATAAATAAATAAAACCTAAAAAAAAAAAAATTAAGTAAATGACTCTAAGTGTGCAAAATGCCATGAAGGAGAAGTTAGTAAGGAATGGGAATCAATGAAATACTCTGGAATAGTAGGAAAATATCTAAGAAATATTTTGGTTTTGGAATAAGGAGGAGAGAGCCGGTATCCCTGATACTGCAGTTAAAAGGATTTTGGGGAGTTCGTTTGTGTTCATAACTTCTCTTATCTCATAAGTGACAGTTAATGTGTATGTAGTTTAATGAGGGTTTTTATGATTTAGAACCAGAATGGGCTTTGGATTCTTATTTCTACAAGATAGAATTAGTTTTTCAAGCAAGTATATCCAAACTGTGTGGAAATAAATAAAATAGTTGACCTTGTCTCTTTTGGTCTGTGCAATATCTGTAGCTGAGATCTGTGTTCCTCAGTATGAACTTAGTTTGTAGTACTTCTCTCATTACTCCAGCATTTCAGCCTGAGGCACTTAATTAGGCTAGAAACAGATGCTTGCTTCTTTACACATGGTGCCAAATCCTTCGTTTAAGAATACAAAATTTCAAAAATGTGTTTGTTTTCAGTACAAAATAAAAAGATGTTTTTGGTATTCCCACTCACCTCACAAAACAGTAAATGTGCTATTAATTGGTTAATTTGGTTGTTATGACTCATGGTAAAAATGACGTGGGGGCGCCTGGGTGGCTCAGTCGGTTAAGCCTCTGGCTCTTGATCTCAGCTCGGTCTTGATCTCAGGTTCAAGCCCTGTGTTAGGCTTCATGCTGGGTGTGGAGCCTACTTAAAAAAAAAAATGATGCAGGATTCTTTTTTCTGTGGACTGTTCTCATTCCCCATGCGTTTTTTAAGTAGACCTGTTTTTAAACAAAAAAACCGTGCGGCTGAGCTTGTCTGGGCTTTTGTCAAGCAAGATAAGCAACGTTGTAGAAATAGCTCTGACAGAACTGCTGGAAGTAAAGGCTGTGAAGCCACAGAGGTGCCCAACAGAAAGTAAGATGCATGGTTCTCCCTTCTGCAGAGCGTGGTAATGGTGGTCTTCAGTGAAGACAAAAACCGAGACGAACAGCTGAAGTACTGGAAGTACTGGCACTCGAGGCAGCATACGGCGAAGCAGAGGGTCCTTGACATTGGTAAGTTGACTTTGACCTCCCTGTGTGGTCTTAGGTAAACTGACATGTTGTCATGCTGCCCAGCACACAGCTCATAGCTGGGACCCACGGAGCTCTTGGGAAGATGTGCCAGGCACTAGTCTGGGCACTTTTCCTTTGTGAGTACGTTTAGTACAAATCAGGCGGAGATGGCAAAATCAGACTGAGCTGAGTGCAAAGCACTGTTTGTTCTATGGCCGCTGGCTGGGACTCGTATAGTAATAGTGAAACATTTGGATTTGCAAGGACTGTGTCAGTTTCTAAAACATGTTTCCATGCCCTAGACCAGATGCACTCCTGTCCCCCTGTGACATGAATGACCTCAGGATCATTTGGCTCTAAGGTACTTGTGAAGGTCCCATGACTGCAAAGTGGGTTCTGGTTCTCTTAATTCTCCATATGGTGTCCCTTTAGTGCCAACGCATGCCTGCTGCTGATAGTACTAGGTGGTCTGGCAAATGAAACCTTTGAGAGATCTTTTCCAGCAGTAGAGGAGGAACGGATCAGCAAGTACATTTTCTCGGTGTATTCTCAAACACGACGTTTGCTCTCTAGAGCCCAGGAGTCCCCTGGGTGGGACTCCAGGTTCGGCCAGAAAGACAGAGTCCACGCCAAGTGGTCCCATGGCGGGAATTTGCTACAAAGATCGGGAGGGCTGAAGGCACCGTGACACTGTCTGGAGATGAGCAACAGCAAGACTGCACTGCTATTAGCTGCAGGCCTGGAGGGTCAAAGAGGAGGTTGAGGGTGTTGGGGGAGCCCCCCAGCAAGAGCTCGAACCATAGTGGGGGCTGCCTCAGCAGGAGCTGGGACCACAGACAGAGCAGCTTTGCAAGAGCAGAAAGAACAACAGAGGAGTCACTGCCAGACACACCTCTCAAAAGAATGCCAAGAGGGAGGAGGAGAAAGAATTCCCTGTGTTCTCCCTGTCTCCCCCTCCCACCAGTGCTTCCCAAGGGCCGAATGTTCCCTGAAGCTACTGGGTACATGATCCTAGCAAATGTGGTTTGCAGGACTCACCCTCTGGGATACAGAGTAAGACAAGGGAAGTCAGGGATGGAATCTTAAAAGTTTCTAGAGATTGCTTAAAAATGCCGACAGTAATATGTGTGTTTCTAAGTAATTTTAACGCTTTATATGCTGTTTTTATAAGAAATAAGTAATTTCGCATCTGTGGGCTTTCTTACCTCGTTTTGCAAAGTAAAAGGCTGCAGTCCCAGGGAGTATAGGCAAAGTAAAGGTTTCCCTCCTGTCGGGTATCAGAAAGTATTACTGAGCCATTAAAAGGTATTACAGAGGCATTTCTTGGACTTCTTACACACTGCAGTGATGGATTTTTCTCAGCCCTTCCCTCTCATCCTTGCCAGTGTCCCTTGACCAATGGCAGAGAGGTTAGTGATTACGCGAGGGTTAGAGACTCACAATAAAATACATTGAAACTAATTGTTGGTTTATCCTGCAAGATGGCCACACCCCTCCTTGCCTCAGTGCATGCCCGTGCACACGTGCCCCCCCACACCCTTCCCATTAGCTAGTCAAACATGTTTATCTAATAAACCAGCAAACTGAGACCCAGTGAGGCCCACTGATTCACTTTTCCAGGTGATTTATCCTCAGATAATTAGTGCAAGAGCTAGGATAAGACAGTCTTCTTCACCCAGCTCATATACAGAAACTACAAGATCGATTGACTAGGACAAGGGAGTGGGGATACTTGCCTTGACCTGTTTGTAACCATCTACATAGAACTCAGAGAAACAATTTTACTTTATTTGAAAAGTTAGCCTTATAATTATTACCCAAGAAAATGAGAGGAGCAATTAAATAGAAATATGGACTAGGTCCAAATAAGGTAAATAATAAAAGCATTTTACTGGCTTACCTGTTGGTTCAGCTTTGATATTGTTATAAGGTTTACTTTTCTTAGACCAGAATGACTTCTCAGCTCACCCAGGGCTTTGGATCTTATCTCTCTTCTATTTTGCCTCTTGCCTGCCTTCGGACTTTCCTTTATAACCCTTTACACATGCATTTGCACACACATGCACACACATGATTTATCTTTGAGACTTAGGACTTTTACTAAGAAGTTTTGTGGCTCCTTGGGCCACCTCCTCTGAACCTGAACCCGAGGAGTATTAAATCAGTCCTTTAGCTTCAAAGGGCAAATTGATTTTCTGACTACAACCTCAAACTGACAGAGGATGAAGAAATATGCAAAAATCTTATATAATTCATTCCTCTATTAGACTTACAAAAAAAGCAAGCCATGTGTCCTTCTGCCAGTGGTGGTTAATACCATCTCCAGCATAAAGAGGGAGCTGACACCTGGGATGGTGTGTACATCTGTGTGTGACTCACACCCTCAGCGGGTAGCTCTGGAGTGCGGTGCTGAGAACATTGGTAAAGGCTCTGCCTTGCTTCCACCAGGGGTTAGCAATGCCTGCTGACAGTGAAGGGAGGTTGAAGGGTGCATGTGCCCGTAGTTGTCGGTGTGGGTTGAGAACTTTCTAGTAACCTAAAGAAAAAAAGGAAGAGTCCAGTGTTTTAAAATGTATTACCTTTCTTAACTTCCACGAAGCTGGAGGTTACAGTCAGGGCTCGTGGTTGCAGTTTCCAAATCTCCACCAGTCACTGTGGTCCCCAAGTTCAACTGGACCCTCTAGGTAGTGACCTTGAAGCTGGAGTTAAAGACTGAGATATATGCTCCTTTCACTAGAGGAGAGATTCATAACCTGTGGTCTTCAGAGTCTATGGGTGGGACTTAAGGGAAACTCCAGCTTCTAAAGTTACACACAACACACTTTTGTGTGTAGAGGTGTGTGTATTCTTTCTTCTCATTTTTCAGGGTTCCCGGGATAACCAGCCCTCCTCCAGCTCTCTGTCTGTCTACCTCCACTCCAAGCAAAGCCCAGTGGAGCTTTTACCTCTCTCCGTATCTTTCCTTGTTCCACATCCCCTCAGCACTCATGCTTAAGGATTGCTCTGTGGTCTCTGGAACCCTGTAATGACGGCCAGCAAACATACATCTTTCCTGACATACATTTATCTCACTTGGATTAGAACGTTGGTTGTTCTTCAAGGCTGCTCCTCATCTCCCACATACTTCTGACCCTCTGAGTAGCTCTGACCAGCCAGTACTGCTGGTCGCCAGATGGGGAGAGGCCCCTCAGTGTCACTGATGGTGTCCTTTCTGTGGATCTATGCAAAGGAGAGTGGGAGCCCGAGGGCCGGGGTGTAGGGAAGGAGGCTGCTCTCAGAGCACGTGGAGCCTTGGCTCCCAGGTTCACTGTATCCTGATTGATGTTCCCAGCGAGGCTGCTTCTGCATCACACCACGCCTGGCTCTTCTTGGACACATACTCACACATTACCTGGTTTGTTCCTCACATTTTGCAGGTCTTTGCTTGTTGTCACCTTATCAAAGAGACCTTCCCTGTCACCCTAACCTAAACGGCACACCCTCATCACTCTCCAGCCCCTTAACCTTTATTTCACAGCAGACATCACTACCCTACATGGTACATACGTATGGATGTTTCTGTTTCTCAGTGTGCCCACCCTCCAATCAGAAGGTAAAGCCTATGAGGGCAGACCCTTGTCGGGTTTAGCGCAGAGTCTGAGACATAGTGAGCTGTTAATATTTCCTAAATGAATGAGTGAATGAATGAACCAGTGTGTGGATAAAACTCTTACTACACTGACGGAAGGCAGGCCTCTGGAAGGAGTGAACTCTCTTAATGATACCCATGTGTTCCTTGTCTTCTGTGTACCAGGCTCTTTCTAGAGATCATATATAAACGTTGTCTGTCCTCAAAACTCATTTTGTTGTTCAAAAACCGAGGTGGTGAACAGTAAACAATTTTACCCAAGGTCGTGTACCTGGTAGGTGGTGTTGTTGGGATGGAACCCCAAGGGTGCCTGAGTTTGCACTCCTCGTTTTTTATTATTCTCTGTCCTCGCACCACTGTACATCGTCATTATATGGCAACCCCTAGGTAGTTCTTGGCCCCAGTAGGCCCTGATGACTTGTAGAGTGACTGCAGACATCCGGGACCTGACCGTGCGTGGACATCCTACGTCTCCCCGCTGTGCCTTCCTCTCCAGATGTTGAGAACGTTTTGCAGTCTGGGGGGTGGGACTCTTGGCTGCTGCTACTTCTGACGTTTCTGAAAGCCAGTTCAGATATGTGGTTCTTGTACATTAGGCCATAAACTATTATGTTTGGGGGAGGGGGGAAGGAAACATTAGCAATTAGTTCTTACTTGATAAAAGTAAAACAAACAGACCTTGGCCCTAGTGGCTCCTGCTGCTTTTCAAAGCACGAGCGGAGTTCTCCAAGCCTCACAAGTTCTTTCTTGTGAGCTCGTTGAATAACAACAATTATTCCAGGTCATAAATGAGTTTACATTCTGCAGCCCAAGGAGCATTCCTGTGCCAATTAGACCTCAGACCTCCTGTATGGAAGGAGCCACTTAGCCACTTAGGTTGTTTCTGTTTTTGCTCATCTCTGATTGTGGATGTCCCTTTTTAAGGACATTGAGTTAGTGCTGGTCCCATGGTGCCTTGCAGAAAGGCATAGTTACTCCATATTCATTCAAACAGGCCAGACCTTTTATTAGAACTAGTGATTCAGAGGTAATTAGGACAGGACCCCTGTCCTCAAACTGCTCGAATCTGGAGGCAAGACGATGAGTGGCTAAGATGTCACACAGTGAGTGGTGTCTTGGAGGAGTGCTTCCCTGAGGAGATGTTTCTGAAACCCTTCCGAAAGGACGACAAGAGCTCGTGAGGTCAACAAGGTGGGGGAGGGTGCTGCAAGCCAAGGAAACAGCACATGCTCGTACAGGAACCAGGGCAGAAGAACAAAATGAGATTGGCAGATAAATTTTATCAAGTCTGATGAAATTGTAGCACGGATGGGAGAGGATGGAAACTGTCAGATGTACTAGTGAGAGCGTTCCTTGATGGAGCTAATATGGA